CTTCCACTAGGCTTTCCAGGTTATTTGCATATTTTTCCAGCATATTGACCATATTGTCCATTATGTTCGTATGCCTGCGAAAAATTGAATTCACGATCAGTGTAGCTAATTCATATATGCTTTTCTCATAACTAAAGGAAATCATAAATTAGTCACCCCCCACATATTCATCAAATCTTCGAAAAGCGCAAGCGAACTGTCACTACACCACAGTACCAATGCCGCTACAGGTACGGGTAATTTATCAATAAAAAGGCAATACTGAAACTGGGATAATATTTTAAAACAAAGGAGTGCTTTTTTAATAGAGAAGGGAAAATAGTCATGATTATTAGTTCAATGGCTTTTTGTGCGCCGAATCTGACGATATTCTGTGGGAATTAAGTGGCACCGATTTGTTCTAATGAAGAGTACCTGCATAAATGCATACATATAGCGTCTAATTTAAAGATATGAGACAATACTACCAATGCCGCCTAGTTAGCTAGCTCAGTTAGAGACTGCCGGACCAACACTTGGGGTCTTTAAATAACTGAGAAGAAAGAGTGCTGCCTTAAACAGCACTTTGAAATTTCACTTATCTAGTTCTTATGGGACGTAAAAGAACTCACACCACTGTTCGAAAAGAGTTGGGGACATATAGACCCCGATGGGGTGGCCAACTCTTCCTGAGCTGGCTTGGTTATCTGTAAGGAGAGATCTTAATGATAGGGATAACCTCATGTTCCCCCTTTAGGTGTCGTAATAGCTAACTGTTAACAGTGTAAGTATGTATTTATGTATGCAGTCCTTAAGAATGATACATTACCTCCCAACCGACATTTTTCTAATCTGGCGCCTTAAATCCTCAAAATCAGGTCTGGCCTCGGGCTGTTCATTCCAGCATCTCTCGGTAATTTGTCGCAGTCCAGGAAGATCAGACTGCTTCACAATGTTATTGAATTTTGGACGGAATGGAGGGCTCTCCCGCATCATCACTCGCTGTACGACCTCTGTGAATAAACAAGAATAACAGATAGTTTCTATGTGATGGGTAAGAACGCCAGAATTTTTTAGCGGCATTTTCATTTCGTAAAGCAAAATCTTTTATGAACAAGTTCACAAACCTTTTGGTTCTGTGTGATAGTAACACATATCAAACGGCCCTGATCGGGTAAGAAGTTCTTGACAAATTATTGCAAAGCTGTAAATATCTCCTTTTTGCGTTCCACGAGATGGTGCTTCTTTTCCCGCTCGAATGAGTTCGGGAGCGGTCCATATCATCCCTTCATAAACAATCAAACAAAGACATTGCTAATGCGAGAACTGAAACAGCTTTATCATTTTCTAGATATCTACATTTGAACGTCGTTTTAAAAAGCATTTATCTAAATATGTATATTTGATTAGATGGTCATGCCTTAAGTGGTCAGAGACTGAAACATCAATAGTCGTTGCATGACGTGAAAGGGTAGGTAGTAATGTCTTCAAAATTCAGTTGAAAAAAGTTGAAGGAAATCGCTTAAATCGCAGTGGATCGGGAAAATAACCACAGAGGAAGCAACAACACTCCAAGTAAATAAAGTAGAGCGTATTGAAAATTATATTGACAATTTATGCGAGTATTTATCTCTTTGAATCTATTGATGCCTAGCCTGCGAACCGCAGACGCATTTCCGGTCGTCGCTTCTCTCCCTCCGAGAGGAGGAGAGAGAAGCGACGACCGGAAATGCGTCTGCGGTTCGCAGGCTAATTGATGCCTGAATTCCCATACAAATCATTTATATTCATGGCCATTTTGAGGATTACACGATATGAGTTTGGGCTGCCTGTGTTGATACTCGCAACTGGTCTTTTTCAAAACTTGAAAAAAAAACAGGACTGGTCTATATACTATTCAAGATTTTCTACACATTTTTTTATCTTTTAATATTATTTGTAACAAACATAATTATGGTATCATTTGTATTAAATGCCAGGCAACTTTTTGCGAGGCATCCTACATTACGGAATGGCGCCTGTAGATACGTGTCGCCCGCAAAATCGCGGGTCCCATGACTATTTGCGCGCTCACAAAGGGAGCCGACGCATGTCGCGTCCTTTGATTCAAGACTCAAGTGTTAGGGTATTGTTTCCACGATACAAAGGTAATTTAACTTAAGAAAATCTATAGATCGAAGCTTTCGCGCTACTCAACTTGATAAATATTTTGACTTCATAACATATTTTAACGATTTAGGCCAGCAGAATGTATAGAATTCCAGGAAAACAATTCAGGAAGCCGAACGGTTTTGAACTGCGCTAGACGTTATTTTTATCAGTATGCAAATCACCTACCCAATCACTTACTTTCCATCGAATTGAAATATCCTGACTTTTTTTTACCACTTTTCGATTTGATTCATTTCATTTTATATTATTTTGTGCAAGCTGAGCTCTTTCATGCGAATTTACGCTTTCCAAAGGAAAAAAACTTCGAGGAAACGTTGTGTTTACAACCACGGCAATTTGTATCTATTTCGCTTCACTTACGCTTATATGCAAATTACTGTTCATCCGCCGGATTTCGCTGGAGACAAAAATATCGATTTTGAATTCCCAAATGCTTGCCTTTTGGGCACCCCTTTTATTTTGGCTGTCAAGATTTTAAAAGCTAAGCTTCAGACTTTTCATTCCAACGTTTTAATGCGGGAAAGCTAGGAGAAATGCTCCAACTGATATAAGTCACGCAACACGCTTTAAGACCGCATAACTTGATCTTCCTGTTACCTTTTGTTCTTCTATTGTCTCCAAAACAATAACGATGTTTTACCAATTTCCACCTACAAATAATAGGACACATTTGATTGACAGAAAAATTTGCATTTACTAGCGAAGCGTATCTACAGGCGCGATTCCGTAATGTACATTCAATTAAAATTAATCAACAGATTTTGAGTTATAAGACTGTTCAAGATCTTCGACGTATCTTTTAGCTTTTTTCCAAGGAAGCAGTATAATGCACTTACGGTAAAATCTAGCGTATTCTCCTTCTTCTCTAACGGCCTGGTCAGCTTTAAATTTATTGAGCCCATAGTCGGTGATCTTCAAGACCCAGCGACCATCTACCACACAGTTTGATGACTTAAGGTTGCCATGAGATTTTATATCTGTACTATGAAGATAACTCATTCCCTGAAAAAAGACAAAAACGCGCAAAATTCCTTCAAACTACTTCAAAAATTCTCATTTCTGTTCTCATAAATATATACCAAAAAAGCATCTAGTTACCTTGACGATGTCAGTGACAAGTGACGTCACAAACATGTTATCCAGTTTTACGTCCTCGTTTTCAAGGATATCCTGAAGAGAAACAATTGAAAAGGAGGAGCATGACCTTTGAATGGGGACTTAAGATGATCGTACTATACCACTCATCCTTTCAGTGAGGTAAAGTAAGGGGAGAAGAATGACAGTTGAAACTATCAGCTAGTTGTCTTGATATTAACCAAGTCAAGATGGGCATTGGCGGTCCTTTCTGGGAATTTGCCAGCCTCCGGCTTTCACTTGAGGATGTGGAAACTTGTTCATTCAAATTGAGAACTTAATTTCGCATGCTACTGGGTATTTCGAAAATTGAAAAACACAAAATTATGTTTGGGCTTCCTTAGTAGTGGCAATGCTGAAAGGGACTGATTGATATAACATGTTAAACCTTTTACACTGAGTCTCTTAAAAGTAGTTTTAGCTTTACGTCTGTAAACAAAAACCTGTTGGGCAGCCAGTTCTTTCGCATGATACTTTTTATTATATAATTAATTGATTTTTTTTTCAATTTCGAGGCTTCGTGCTATGAGTAAGAGTCGGATGGTTAGTTGTGGTCAGTAACTAATGTACGACTAAAGCCACTTTTAAGGTACGTTAAAACGGGCAGCGAAACGTTGCAACTTGTTTTCCATCATTGCTGCAAAACGAGTTAAAAAGCAATGTTATGCATTTTATCACCGACGAATCAAACCTGTCTTGAAACAAATCAGCTTGTTGCAGGTTGCGAAAGTACAGAGTAGTGCTATTTTTTGAGGCAAATTCTGTACAAGATGCGCGATTTACTGGCCAGAGGCAAACTTGGTTTGCAGTAAGTGACAAACATCCCGTATATGGCGTGACTCCCGCCTAATTTTATCCAATCAGAAGTACAGGCTGTATTCACGCAACTTGCAACGACCTGATTTGCAGCAAGACATGTTTCATTCTTGGACAGTAAAACGCGCAACATCGGTTTTCAAGTCGATTTGCAGCAATGTTGCAAAACAAGTTACACTTTTTTCTTGCCCGTTTTACCGTAGCTTTAGCCGCGTGACTTGACCTTCAAAGAAATTGCGCTGTTCGGGTCTACAACCATAAAATTAATACTGACAATTGTTGTAACCATGCTATCTGTTGATGTTTTACCTGCAAGCTGCCTTTAGGGCAGTACTGGAACAAGATGCATATGTTGGGAGTATCCACGCATGCTCCCATAAATTGAGTTAAATTGTCGTGGCGAATGTCACGCATCTGAAAGATATGAAACGCATCAGGTATCAAAAGGAAGCATACTCCATACAATCAGATAAAGTGTGCTGTAAGACAACTTTAAGCAAGGTAGAAATAATGATAGCTTTCGAGTCTTACATCTCGAACCTTTGTTAGAGTTGTCATTAGCACAATTCTTCTTGGCAAGACTAACTCTATGAGGGTATTGACCAGCAGTTAGTCAATATACTTTTTATCATCATTTAATGAAGTTTACATGGTCACTGTTGTAACTATTTTATCCTTGCACAACCTGAAATAAAACCTGGAAAATACGGTATATAACGCAAAAAGCAAAGTGGAATGATGTAAATACGCTCATTATTAATTATCATCAACTGTTGCAAACGCAGACTTGTGGACCATGCTATAGCTTGTTGTTTCTCAGGTCGGGCATCAAGAAAACCTATACAAATTATGTAATTATGGGATAAAAATTCGACGTGAAATTTGAAATTGAAACAGTG